GGCTGTTTCTAGTTGACCATTAAAGCAATTTGACCTTTAACAATTATTTAGCTAATTTATATTTTAATACAAAGTATGTGCTCATTTATGATCTTCCGAATTTTACTCTTTAGCATTTCGTTTCGCTCTAAAAAGTAGGCAATTAAAAGGGAAATTCTCTCTTAATTGACTCTGGTATGCATTTTGAAGATTTACCGAGGAATGTCTTAGGGAATTTTCTCCCGTTCTCCAATTTCTTTTCTTTCCTTTGCTCGATATAAATGAACTGTTTATGCAAGTTAAGTTTTATATGTTTAAACTAAGTATGACAATTAGTTTATTGCCGTAATTTAATTGATGATTTTTCTGCAGTTAGCTTATCTATGTGAAGCGTTTGTTTATTCCCTATTTTATTGTAATTATTTTTTATCAGTCACTTGGTTATTTTTCCATAATTTCCCCATCAATTTTCTCGGCTCGCTCGTTGCGTGCACAAATTAAATTTATGTGATTTTTGTGCGCCAATGTAAATTTACGCGCAGACAGACAGGTGTGTGTGTGTGTGTGTGTGTGTGGGCGTGTCCTCTGCACGCTCAGCACGTTTATTCGCACTTAATTCGCACTTTTTGACACCTTTGGATGTCCGTCAGTTGCACGAAGTGCGCCAACGAACCAAAAGCCCAAAACCAAATAAACATAATTACGTTCGTCCTTAATATGAAATCTCCACAGCCAGCAGCCACGCCCCCACACACCACGTCCAATAGCTAGGGGTTGCCGCAGGCTGTCAGCAACATAATGTGCAACGGGCAAAGCGAACAGCGCGAAATATTATGCAAAATAAATTAATTACCAATTAAGCGTGCTGCGAGTGGCAGGAGTGGCAGGGGGTGTGTGGGGCGAGTGGGTGGCCGACATTAAGGGCTGAGCTCCACACAGTGCACGGACTGCATCAAAGCAGTTGTGGCTGCCGATTTGCAGCTGTTGCAGGCATATGCCAGTAACATTTCTGTGATTTTTGAAGTGCTCAGTGGGCGAGGGGTGGGGGGATGTCGTGGTGGACGGAACGTTGGGGCTCGCCTCGTTTGCCGTAACGCGTTTCTGTCACATGAGCATCGGTCACTAATTAGTGTCATTAAATCCGCTCCACATGACGACATGCGACAACATTTGCCTGCCATAGCCCCACATCCCCCATCCCCCACCCCAACACACCTTCGCCCAGCCCAGTGCAATGCAGCTGCCATTCCCCGGGCGGCGTGTGATGTGGCGTTGCCTACTTTTTGGGGCGCATGCATAAAACATGTCACAAAATTGCAGCAGCTTTTGGCCTGACTGCTGGCTCGACTGGTCGTCGTTGGCCAAATAAATAAACCATAAACATAACTGACCGCAAAATCAACTTAATTTCTAACGTGTATGTGTGTGTGTGTGTGTGTGTGTGTGTGGAACGTGGAATGAAACTGCGACAGTTTCTTATAACCGACGTAACTTCCGTTAACTTGCGTGCAAACCTGTAATTTAATTCCCCGTCTCCATCTTCCACTTGGCTCACTTGGCAATTGGGGTTAAAAAGGGTTTAAGTTGCGACACAATAACCCCTCCCCCCACCGCGACCCCAACACCGGCCGCGACACTAGCCCCCATACTCTAGCGTCACCACATGCATATGCATAATTATAGAGCCGGAACCAAAAACGAAACGCAATGGCAAATGGCAAAGGGTATAAGGTGTAAGGTGAAGGGTAAAGGGTACAGGGTACAGGGTGGAGGTTGGAGGTTGGAGGGACCCCGCGGCTAGGGGCTGGACGGCATCCGCTTAACAAACTAAACTGTGAAAATGCCGCCGGCCAGAGTTACCCCAAAAACTACGACTCTATGGGTATTACGGCCGTGGAAATTTGAATATTGATTGGCTTTAATGAGCGCCCTGGTCGCGCAATTAGCTCGTCCGGCCGGCCGGCCGTCGGTGTTACCTGCTCCTCCGTGCGCCCGTATCACCTGCTTCAGGTATCGGTTGCGTTTCCGTCTGCCTTACGGCGGGGCTAGGCAACGATTTGGACTGGGTGGATACCAATTTTCTCAACTCGAAAGTAGATAACAAATTACGCCTAACTATGGGGAGAAGTACAGGTGTTATCAAATGCCCCGTTATTGTCGAGTATTTTTAAAGGGCATTGAATAAATGATGATTGGGAACGTAATGGAATTTGGCAACAAACTGATGGAATCGAAACATTGAAATTGTCAGCTAAGGAAAGGAATTAGCAAACGAATGGAATGAAACAGTAAAAAAGCTAATTATAGCAACTAAAACAATGGAAATGGATTCAAGGTGAAACCAAATGAAATTGAAAGTAAAATTAATCAAATGAAATGAAGGAAAATTAAAATTAACGAATCTTAAGTGAAATATAATTGTATATTATAGGGGAACATATTGGAATGAAACATTAACGTATACAAAACTTCTTTTACATTAAATTTTTGCAATTTTGAAAAATGAAATGAAATCAGGGACGGGATAAAAACAAAAGAACATTTATTGAACATTGAATATGAAATCGGAATGAAACAGAAAAGTGCTAAAATAAAGTGGAATCTAATGCAGTGAAACGTAAACAATTAAATTTATGAAATACAATAAAAAGACACAGCTCAGTAACAACAGAAAATGAGTATACGAAATGGAATGAAACGAAATTAAAGTTAAATGGAATGGAATAACAAATGCAATGGAATGGAAAGTGAAACAAAGCAGGCAAATCGCCAGTTAAATCGTTGCCCAAAATCAAATTTTATATGCAAATTGAAAAGAGTTGAAGGCGAAAGGCAGAGGGGAGAGTGAGGGAAAAGAGAGGGAAAGAGAGAGGCGAGCGGTAGGCAGAGAGGAAGGAAGATGAATGTAATGCATAAATTAATTGATCGCCTACGCATTGTACAAAAACTATGAATGCTCAATGAATGCGCTGTCTCCGATAAAGCATGGTGGCACGGCATGTGGCCACGCCCACTCGATCCACATGGCCCCTGCATGCCGCATGCGGCATACAATTGCAATTTTGGTGGCAATGAAATTCGAATATGAAACGTTGAATTTAGCATTCAATTCATTTTGAACTAAACTAAATAACAATGCAGTCCGCGAGCAGGAGCAGGAGCAGGCGGAGGAGGAGGCGGACTGCATGGGTTTTGGCCAAGTTAAAAGCTGACTTGGCTGATTGGTATTTGGTGCGGCTGGCTTTAGGGGGCTGGCGTTAAATTTACATAAATTGATTTGATTGAATTTTTATGAGCGAACGTCCATTGGCCGTCCCCCGTCCCCCGTCCTCCGTCGTCCGTCGTCCGTGGCCCACGGCTGATGAGTTTTTGACACTGGCCGCAGTGCGACGTCTAATTAAAGTCATTGCCAGCAGCTGCACACGCGTGGCACGGAGTAACGTGCCACGGTCTGTGCCCCCAAGGCCGGGTCACAGTTGGTGCTACATGGACAGCGGCAGCGGCAGCGGCAACCATGTTGGCTTAATGCATTTGGCCATGGCCAACGACAATTGAGGCAGGGCGACAGACAATGAATGGTGCCACAACACATGGCAGCCCCATATATGCAGGCCTAGCCACACCCCATACCCAGACCCAACACACACACACACACTCGCACACACACATAGGCTGCGGCATCTCTGCATATTTTTAGGGCTTCTGGCTGGCAAACAGAAATTGGCAACAAACTAAGTATTTAGCGCTTTGATTTTGGCCTGGTTACACACACACACACACGCATACACGCGCATGCATGACCATTCTCCATTTCATTCCATGTCGTTTCGTTGCATTTGGCGCTCTTCTGTTTCCGTTTTGCCAATGCCAATTTGTCATAAATCTCGTTATTTTAAATCGTTGTTGGCATTTTCAGCTTGCATTGATTTGTTGTTGTTGCTGCTGGTGCTGCTGCTGCTGCTGCTGCTGGCCATTGACAGACGCCTTGGCCATGTTTTGTTATCGTTATCGCGCTGCTGCAGTCAGCAATTTGCAGCGTTGCACACACGCAGCAATAAAGCAACAGTGACAGTTGTAAATGTTGCGGCTGCTGGTTGAAATTGTCAGCCGCAAAATGTTTCGCTTAAATATGCAAAATATCGAAAGTAAAACTTGCGCTCATTGAACTGTGACATTACAGCAATGTAAAAAATAAACCGCAACGGTCCAAGCCTGCCTCCTGTGAGAATTGAACTCACGACCCCTGGTTTACGAGACCAGTGCTCTGCCCCTGAGCTAAAGAGGCCATTTGACAGAGCCGCCGTCAATAAGCTGCGTTATTCATGCGTGGAAGAACAGAAGGACCACCGCCCACGCATAACCAATCAGGAGACAGCAGCGCTAAAGCACAACACAGCCAACGGTGATCAAAGCTTGTGTTGTGCTTAAAATAGCACACGCATAGCGAAATTCTTTTGCAGATGACGCAACAGTTTGATCGAAGCGTGGTCGCAGCTTACGATACTCTCCATTCAGTTTGGGTTTGGGTTGGCCACGTTTACAACGGCTCGTTGGTCTAGTGGTATGATTCTCGCTTCGGGTGCGAGAGGTCCCGGGTTCAACTCCCGGACGAGCCCGCTTGAAATTGTGATCGCACAATTATTTTTAAATTGTAAACATTTTTTTCTTAATTTTTTTTGCATTTTACATTTCCCACAAAGGCTTTACAATTTATTTATATACTTGCGAGAAAGTACAAACTTAGAAAAATAACATACAATTTTGGCAAGCCGTTAGCTCAGCGCTTCTGCTAAATTAGCAGAGCATTAACAGGCCCCGCGTAAAAGTATGCTACGAAAAGTTGTGTGAGAACATGTTCTAGACGCCACCGTCTGTTAATGGCATTATTGAACACTGTGGCGACTGTGGGTACGCCTGACAGCTGATAAATGCCGTTACTTTTACTTGACAGCTCCGCATTACACTAGCAACGACGAGGCATTCTTTTCTTGATGACAATTCAAGCACATAAGTGAAAAGCTGATTTAAATATATAGTTACAATTGCATACGCTGGTGTTGGGGTCATGTATACAGTTGATTTTGACTACGAATTCAACAGCGACTACAAATTCATTGACTTCTATGCACCCGATCGGTTCTTAGTGCCCGCTGTGCCGCAGTACTACGGCTACGGGCATTTGACAATGCCACAGACGAACAGCAGCAGCGACACTCGCCGTCAGCAGAGGAAGAGATCACGGTCGCCGTATGAGGCCTATTGGCAGGAGATTAGCAGACCGAATGTACAAACACACACACACACACACATACTCTCGTTCCCTCAGCCCCCCATTCTTCAGTAAGAAATTGGCTAACTCTCGCTCTCTCTCTTTCTCTTTTACTCTTGCAGATGATGACTATGGATATAACCAAAACAGAACCCGGACTAGTCGGGCTATCATCCAATCAGCAGCAGCAGTCGGCACAGCAGCAGCAGCAAACCGCAAACATGAACAACAACGGCCAGAACAGCAACAACAATGGCAGCGGCAACAACAACAACGGCCTGAGCAATGGCAACGCGGTGAACAACGGCAATAACAACAATAATAACAACAACAGCAATAGCAATGTGCAGAGCATTGCGGCCGCCGCTAACAACAACAACAACAACAACAATGGCAGCCAATTGTGCGCCGGCTGTGGCAAGCACATCCAGGACCGTTACCTGCTGCGCGCCCTGGACATGCTGTGGCACGAGGACTGCCTCAAGTGCGGCTGCTGCGATTGCCGTCTCGGCGAGGTCGGCTCCACGCTCTACACCAAGGGCAATCTGATGCTCTGCAAGCGCGACTACTTGAGGTGCGTAACAGTGGCACAGATAAAGAATGAATGTGTGTGAGAGAGAGAGAGGGTGAGATATCTAATCGCTGTTAACTCTCCTCGTTTTGCAGATTGTTCGGGAATACGGGCTACTGCGCCGCCTGCAGCAAAGTCATTCCAGCCTTCGAGATGGTGATGCGTGCACGCACCAATGTCTATCATCTGGAATGCTTTGCGTGCCAGCAATGCAATCATAGGTGAGTGGTCGACTAACAACGATATATATCGCCAGCTGCCGATATTGTTGTTTACGATAGAAGAGTTGACATTCCAGTGGAGAAAATGACTTGTAAATTTATATATTGTTACTTGTAATTGTAATATTGGGATTAAACTTCAATTTATACTTGCACTTTGGCTCGAATTTATATTTATGTAAGCTATACTGTTACGTCTAGTTCATATATATACTGCTACTTTGACTTACACTTCTCTCTCTCCCTCTCTCTCTCTCTCTTACACACACTCACACAACTCCTGTTCCTTAAGCTCATTTGCCATATTACCTACTTATGCATTTTTATGGCCCATTAGCCCATCAACAGCTTCTGTAAACATTGCCGAAAAGAAATCCCTTTTTAATCTTTGGCCAATATACATGGCCAAAATGGCACTTGGAATTTTATTATTATGCAGCTAAAGCATCAGCGGCAACAAATTGACATCATTTACAAGCTTGTTTGGCCCTCATTTTGGGTTCTACTGAATGCCGAGAATGGGGTAATTCGGGCAGGCAGTGTGAGAGTGAGAGAGAGAGAGAGAGAGAGAGAGAGTGAGAGAGCAACCCCTTTGAGTGTCATAGAGTTTCTATGAAAACCGCATAAATTTCATGGGCATATTTGATTCTCGTACCCTTCGGGGTGCCATCAACTAGTCATCGGGCTCGCGTGCAGCTCAACCAGCCAGCCAGCCAGCCAGCCAGCTGCCTTTGCGAATTTATTGCATTTGGCCAATTCGCCAAATGTCACTCTAGAGAGTTTTAAAGTGTGTGCGTGAAGCTCGTGACCGGTCAACAAGTTATTCAGCTCCTTTTTTTTTTTTATTTTGTTTTGTTTTCTTCTTTTCGATTCGCTTTGCATTATTAATGCGACTGCCCATATGCCGTGCCCTGCCCCGATCCCGGCCATCGCCCTTGCTCCTGCCGCTGCCCTGTTTGCCTTCTTCTCCATTTGAGCATATTGTAGAAGCAACGGCATCGCATTAAATATTTAAAATGCCGCCACACGGCATTGCCGAACACAGAAATATTGAAATAAATGTTAAAACATATTGGCTTATTGTAAAAATCCTGGCCCACTCCCTAACCGCCTCCCATACAATGCGGCCCGGCTGTTGCAAATGCAATCGCTGACGCTTTTGTTTCGCATTGTCGAAAATTGGCTTTAAAAATGTAACAGGCGGCATGTGGCCTGTACAGGTTGCCCTTCGAACTGAAGCTGGAAATTAAATAGAATTGAAAGAACTAGTTTCATATTCATATTTGTATTCTTTTATACATGTATTCTACCAACTTTAACAGTTGTCTCTTAAGACAAACATTCAATGTCTGTCTGTTAACACGCGATTGCACTTTAACAGAGAGAGAGAGAGACAGCGAGAGTCTGTACAGCGCTCAGCTAATGAGGAATTTCCTTAAGGGAAATTCTAATAAGAATTCCCGAAATAGTAGCTTGCGCTCTTTAAAATCACAGATCAATTTCGTTGCGCGTGTACATAAATATAAATTTTGTTCGTTCGTTTTTCATTTCCATTTGAAGCTAATCAATTTTTTACGAAAATTAATTCAATTGCCAAAAAAGTCATTGAGGCGTTGTGGCATGGCCAGCGGGCAGCCTGCAATGGCCCTGACTCCTGCCACGCAATCGTGCAGCATTTTTATTGTTGGTCGCACATTTCACATTTAAAATGCGGGACTTCACTTGCCACATCATGAACAGCAGCAGCGGCAGCGGCAGCGGCAGCGACATCAACAAAAAGTCGCTTTGCATTTTTGCTCTTTTTTCCATTCTTCCTGCTCTACGCTGCTGGCTCTCACTCTCTCGCTCTCATTGTGTATTGAGTATATGTGTGTGTGTGTGTGTGTTTTTTTTTTTAACGAAAGTGCATCGAATGTGTTTGTTGTTTTTATTTTTATGTTGTTACTGAAAAGTTTGCATAATTTCCTGTCGCCAGCATCGACGACGTCGTTAGTTGACTGGCAGGCCGGCCACCGGTGCGAGGGAGAAGGCAAGTAACAGTAGCGGTAAACAGAGCGCGAAGTTTGGCAGTGAATCTTTACGCGCGAGCACAAGCCAGAGTAGTAGAAGAGGAGAGATAGAGTGAGTGAGCGAGCGAACGAGCGATGGAGTGTGAGAGGAAGCTGAAGAAATAACAGCGTGCGCCATTTTAACAATTTTTGTATTTCCTGTTGACAATTTGTTGTTGGTCTTCACTTGCCCGGATGTGCGAGTCCTCCACACACACACACGCACACACATGTCTGATGTGTGGTGTGCATGTCACAGGTGCGTTCAATGCCATAGCCAAAAGTTGTCGTTGCTCTTCTTTTTTCATACTTTGTTGACTCGAGCATTTTTTGTTGTTTTGGTAGATAAACAAAGCGTTTTTCATGTAGACGACGCCATGCCACACCCACACAGCCCACATATGTGTGCTTGTTTGTACATAGCCAGTGCCAGTGCCAGTCCGTCAATCGATTTGCTGCAACGCCAGCAGCCAACAAGAAAATGAAACCAACAAAAAATAAGAAGAGCCAAAAAATAGCAAAAAAAAAAAAAACATTGACGTAAATCAAAAGCCGAATTTCATATCCGCTGTAAGTCTGCTGTAAGCTGTAAGCCCATGTCCCTGCCCCTACCCATGACCCTACTCTCTCTACCGCTGCCTAGCCTGCTACTGTTACTCCTCCAGCCAGATGGGGTATACGTACTTGTCAAACATCAAAATGTTGCACTAGCTAGCAAGCGGCATGTGCACAAAGCCAACAAGCTGGCAGCTGAAAGACTTAATACAGTTAATATCAAGAGAAGGGGAAATAGAAATATGAGATTAGAATATCGATAAATAAATAAATTGGCTGATGTATTAAAAAATTGAATGGAATAAGCACATATGTAAAGGATCAGATGATAGATAAATATATGGACAAAAAAAACAAATAAATAATCAGATAGGCAAATGTATTGCTAGAAAGATTTAGCAACTAGGCGATTGATCGATAAATAGATGTACGATGAGCTATATAGACAGATACACAGATAAATAAATAGATTAGTGGCTAGGGCTAGGCTCAGGCAAACAAATAGATACTGCTATGCTATAGTATGTGTAAATATCTGTAGATTCCTGATATTATATAAATTTCCTTAAAAAAACGATCAATATAACAGAGGTACAATTATAACAGAGGTACAATTAAGTACCACAGTCGTATAACAGTGGTATAACAGAGAGATATTTAAGCTCTGATCCCCATAATAGAGATAGCCATGATAGATGGAACAATAACTAATAACAATATATAGAGATAGTATAGTACATATCAATTATAATACATAATTTATCAGCTTATTCCTATGTAAGAGCATTTAGATTGCTTCATATGATTGGAGTCTTTGGGCCGTGGCTTGTTTGCTTTGAAATGTGAGCTGTGTATTTCGTGTGTTGCTTTCTTTTTTTTCACATATATATTCTGTTGGAGTTTTCCGAATGTTGGGCAACTGTTGCGTAGACACCCCTTCAGTACCCAGCACCCCGCACCCCGCACCCCGCACCTGCCCCGTTGTCAGCCTGTACAGGTGCTAACATAAATATTTTGACAAAGGGCTTCATGCACACACACACACACACACACACACACAGAGACACGCCTTGGGACAGGGCATTGGACTTCATTTGCAGTTGGCCGTACGCCCACACTGGACTGCAGTGAAGCGGAACTTGTTCTGCTGCCACGTTACGTTTCACCTGTTACCCCCGTTGTGCTGTATCTTGTAGCAATTGCAGATCTGTGGCCCGTTTCCTGCTGCTGTGCCTCTGACATTTTCAAATGCTTATCTCTGACTTCCTTGCGAACGATGTCATCAAGCCGTGTTGTCTCGCTCCCATTCATTTGATACTGTTGTTGGTCCTGCTGCTGCCGCTGTGCTGGCTCCTGCTGCATGTCTTCGTCTCTGCTTTTGTTTCAGCCAACCCAGCTCCTGGCCATTCACTCCGACTGCCCTCGCAGCCGGCAGCTTAACAGTTGCCTGCCAATTGACATCTTTGTGCCGTTTGTCTGCCTCTCAGGCCGTCGCTTGCAGGCTTAAGCAAGTGGAAAAATCGTTTCCACTTAGCAGGTTCCTGTTCCTCCAACAGATTCAACTCTGGCATAAAGAATAGCCTGTTTATATATTATATATATAGATGTATAGGCATATATATACATGTATTTAACAGTTAAAGGAATTCATCACTTGGATAGATCTATAAGCTCGCTTGAATCCCCATAATTTCTTTATGCTTTCTTTTTAGAGTTCGCTTTAAATTGAAATGAACTGGAATTTTGAACTGAATCTGCCTTTACTGGTTCATGTTTATAATTAAGCATGAACCAGTACAGACAGATTCAGTTTTAGAATTCCAATTAGAATTCTCACTTAAATCATAATCTAATCCCTCTCTCTCTCTCTCTCTCTCTCTTTTGCCCTCTCTTATCCAGATTCTGTGTTGGGGATCGCTTCTACCTATGCGAGAATAAAATACTCTGCGAATACGACTATGAGGAGCGTCTGGTGTTCGCCTCGATGGCCAATCATCCGATGCTGAAGCGTCATGTCTCGTCCCTGGGTCAGGGCTCGCCGACTGGAGCAGCGGGCGGCGCTGGTAATGCGGGCGGACTGCTGGGCGGCGGACCGGGCGGTGTGACGGGCGGCGCCAATGTCAATGGCGGCGGTGTCGGTGGCGGCATGGTCAATGGACCGCGCACACCAGGTGATCACAACAACAACAATGGACCCCAAACGCCAACTGGCGGCGGCGTCGGCGTCGGCTCGCCGTTTGCGGCCGCTGCCGCTGCAGCTGCCGCCGCGCACATGAAGAACCAGCTGGGGGCGTCCAGCTAAAATAAAGCCCTGGGCATGAGCGGCAGCGGCAGCGGCAGCAGCGGCATCGGCGGCTCCGGTCAACAGTTTTATGGAGCCGCCGGCTTTGGGCTGCATCAGCAGCAACAGCAGCAACAGCAGCAACAGCAGCAGCAGCAGCTCATGGGCATGGGCATGGGCATGGGCGTAGGCGTAGGCGTGGGCGTGGGCATGGGCGGCGGCAGCGGCAGTGGCGGAGGCGTCGGCAGCATGGGCAGCAGCTGCAGGCGCTACCAAAGAAAGTTCTACAATCGCAACTGAACGGCGCCGGTCGAGCGCAATGGCTCGACTTATCGATTGATATATCGATAATTATCAATATGTTATAACTACGTAGAAACCATAAAATGTTCGTTTTGCTTTGACTGAGTTAAAGTTTTGTAGCTTTAGTTATTAAACTATGCTTTTATATTATTATTTTATTTCAATATTTTTTTTCTTTTTTTTAATTTTTATTGATCTATCGGTTCCTTTAAGCTCTGTAAATACTTTGCGTGCAATTTATGCAAGAAAAAAAGAAAGCAAAACATAAAAACAACAAAAATATAACTTAAATAATAAATAAAAAATTAATGTATTAGAACACAATATGAATATATGAAGAAAACGAGAAAAACTGTTAAATTTTATAAAACAAAAAAGAAAAAGAACAATAATTTTTTTTTTTTTTTTTTTTTTTTTTTTTTTTTTTTTTT